GAAGAGGAGCCATGACATGAAGTGTAGGGAACCATTTCAGTGAGGTCTTTCTGTGGGATAGAAGATTAAGCTGTTAGGAGCCAAGAGAAAAATTCCCCTTTTCCCTCTGAAGTTTCACTAAACATTCAACTGAAAAAAGTCAGATAAAGAGAAAAGGCAAAAAAATGTACTAACATGTCCTTGGCTAACCACAGAGTGATTATTTCCACCCCCCATGGGGCACAGAAATTTGTATACTATCCATGGTAACAGAAAAAAAAATAGTAGCAGGGGCACTTAAACCTTGGCAAAACTGGTTAGAGTGGCAACACAAGTTATGGGATGGAGGGAACAACAAGCCTGCCTAGCAAAGGAGGTCTTGTTATGCAGAAGAAATCTCACAGGAAGCAGTCCTCAGAGAGAACAGCTGGGAAACGTTTTGCCGAATTTGGGATATAATTGTCAAGTCTGTTCTCCTTTGTACTGGTGAATAATGTTAAAAATGAAATCTGCTGCCAATCTACAAAACTCCTGTCTACAAATGTAGCTAAGAAAGAAAATAATTTTCTTATTCAAAAGGCATTAAACCATGCTGCAACGTGCAGCACAGATAATAGAATGAGATTAAAAGACAGAAATGAATCTGACTTTGTTAAAAAGCCAAGGTATACAGCCCTTACACACATCTTCTTATGATAAATGATAACTGGGTCTCACATAAGAAGGCCTAACAACACTGCTTTTTGATAACATTCTCTCAGGGCTTCAACCTAAATTCACCTGGTAATTGGGGTAGCCATCTGTGCTAGTCAATCACGTTTATCCCAAGGAAAAATAACATTTCTCTGTGACAGGCAGGCAGCTGTAGCTTGGAGCAGGGATAGAAATTTTCCTTCCTAATGTTTAAATTTCCAAAGAGTTGGCTCTCTTACTCTTAATACAACACTCACAAGTTACAATTCTGGGAAGAGGCTTAGTTGGCTTTTAAAAATATTATCATGAATGTCAAAAGGACTGAGGAAGTATTTACAAATACAATTTTTTCTCAAGGAAATAATCTAAGAAAATGGCAGAGAAGAACAGGTCTCTATTCTTGTCGGCAATAGGAAAAAACTCATTTTAACCATTGTCCCTTACAGATGTCTTGACACTTGAACATCAAGCAGATATGATTTCCAAACAGAAGACTTTAAGAAACATAATTGCAGTTATGTGATCTCCTTTATGAAGCGGATATTGACCTGATATTTTAATGATCAAATATAAGTGCTTATTTTCACTTACACCAGAGTTTGCTAAAAAATTTATCACATTTTTAAACCTCTAATACTTAGATTACTGCTCGGTAGTAATAGAACCCAGAGATAAGTGACATATTAGTCAGCCTTCGCTCTCACCTGTCTGTAGCTGTTAACCATGAAAGCCGCCCCCTCCAAAATTCTGCTATTGCTAAGGTCAAAGATAAACAGAGTTGGACTCTGATTAAAATGGTGAGGATGGATCTTATTAGTCATGCAGTGTTGTAATAGGGAAGAGGTCCAGTGTGGACTGAACTGAACTTTGATTCACACAAAGTGACTCAGCATTTTAAAAGGAGAATGGGTGAGAGGGAAAGGCTCAGCAGGGACTGACTGGAATCAGCAAAGTGGAAAATCACAAAAAGCAGGAAAGGGCTGGTTGGCCAGTGTGATTAGTCCCTCTGGGTTTGCTAGCTGGAGCTAATGGAGGTTGAGCCCCTGCCCTGACATGAGGATACAAAGAACGGTGGCCAGTTTTGGGATCTTGAAACTATTCGACCATCTTTCAGTTAGAACTGTTTTGTCAGTGTTCAGGGAAATGGGAGGAGGTTCTCTATCTTCAGGCATCCATGCTGCTGAATAACCAGCAGGCTAAAGGGAATAAGCTAATGGTGCAGCTTGGAAAAAGTTTGTCCTGACTTCCATGGAGAGAAAGAAAAGGAGCTAGAGTCAGCAATTATTAAATGTGCTTAACCCAGTAGAAGATGGTCACACATCACTCAGTCAAGAGGAGGAGGAACCACCACGAAGAGGCTGCAAATAGTCTCTCCCTCCTAAACTAGGCAAGGCATTAATTTCAGCTGGAGAGCTACCAAGCTGGGGCAGGGCAATTTACCCTCTGACAATATCCCGTGGGAATTAATCAGCAAGGGCCTTCAGTTGGTTATCATTGTTCAAAAGAAAGAGTTCCCCTAAAGAAAGAGGTCCTAGAAGGCCTCCAGCAGGTATTGGTTCAATTCTTTTGACATGGCTTAATAAAACGTTATCAGTCTTTGTATAACACACCCATCCTGCCAGTAAAGAAGCCTCACTTGCACAAGTACAGGTTCATGCAAGATCTGAGGGTGACCAATGACATTGTGCAAGACATCCACCCACTATGACCAATCCATACACTTGTGTTTACTTCCCTGCCCAGGGACCACAAATGGTCTGCAGTGTTAGATTTAAAAGACACTTTCTTTGCATACCAGTAGGTGCAGAAAATCGATTATTGTTCTCTTTTGAGTTGACAGCTTGCACGACTTCAATATTGTTCGACAGTGCTTCCTCAAGGGTTTAAAAAAATTGGGGGAAGCAGTGGCTTGGGATCTAAGAGACTTGCAGTTGGGAAATGGAATACAGCTATTTCCATTAGTAGTAATGATCTGCTAATCCTCAGCCCCTCGCAGCAAGAGTGCCAAGACAACACTCTTGACAGACTCTAAACCATTTGGCAGCCTGTGGGTACAAAGTCGTGAGCAAAAAGGCATACATATGCAAAGAAACTGTAGAATACTTAAGATTTCTATTACAGATGGGAACCATAGCCCTGGCAGAGGAGAGGTGAAATGCAATTGTCTCTGCCGCCGTGCCCACAGCCAGAAAGTAGCTGAGGGTCTCCCTGAGAATGGCAGGGTTCTACAGAATTTGGATTCTCGATTAGGCACTGACAGTAAAGCTGCTATAGGAATTGTTAAAAGAAGCCAACCACAACCCTTTTGAATGAGAAGTGAAACACCAGACGCATTTGAACAACTAAAGCATAAGTTAACATCTGCCCCAGCTTTGGGACTGCCAAATAAACCCTTCCAGCTTAATGTGCGTGACAGACTGGGTGAGCACTTGCGGCCTTAATGCAAAAACCAGGAGAAATATTGCAACCAGTGGTTTATTTTTCAAAACAGCTTGATTCAGTGATAAGGGACTGGCCTCCTTGTCCTCAGGGCGGTACCTGCCATCTGCCTGTTGCTCAAGGAAGCTAAGAGGCTGACTTCAGTTCAGCCCATCATGATTTATGTGCCTTACCAAGTCCTGGGGAGCGGAAGGATGGCTACTTGCTGATGGTGGGCAGATTAAGCCAGTATCAGGCTGTCCTGCTCAATTACCTCAAAGTAAACTACAGGCCACTGGGGCCTTAAACCCTGCCACTTCGTTGACATCTACTGGGCAACCGAAGGAACTAGTACACAACCGGCTAGCGGTCATAGGTTGAGAGTCTTCCAATCACCCCGATCTGAAGGACACAGCCCTCCAGGGTGCAGACTGGATGATCGTTGTCGACAGAAGCAGCCTGGTTGCCAACAGAAGGAGGAATGCTGCCCAGGCTATAGTGACTCTCTCAGAGGTAACAGCTGCAAGAACTCTCCCATCAGGGACTTCTGTGCAAATGGTTGAGTAAATTGCCCTTACCAGAGCCTTGCAACTGTCCCAAGGTAAAAGCACCAACATCTAAACTGATTCCAAATATTCCCTTATGATAGTACATGCATATGGAGCTATTTGGAAAGAAAGGGGACTGTTAAAGGCAGATAATACTGCAGTTAAATACACAAAGCCATGTTGGAGCTATTGGAGGTGGAGACGACCCCAAGGGAAATAGCTGTTATGCATTGTCCAGGCCACCAGCACAGTGATTCCAAACCAGCTAGAGGGAACGCTTTCACTGACTGCACAGCCAGGCACCCAGCCAGCAGCAGTGCTGGGTTCCAGGCAGCTTTAAGTCCCCAAGTAGATCTGCCACCTTTCAAATCCGGTATAGTCTTGAGGGTAAAAAGGCTGCCAAGGACAGAAGATTTATTCAAGATAAAAAAAAAAAGGTTGAAAAGTAAATGATGACAGCCTGGTTTCGGTGCCAATGCACCTTGTTCACCCACTGCCACAATATACTCATGAAAGCGTGCATTTTGAATGAGAGGCCCCATTAACTTTAATGCAAAAATATGTCAAAGGAAAGGACCTGAAGTCTCACTTGGAAAGTATAACACAACACTGCCACCTTTGTGCTGAAAACAAGCTCAATAGCCATAGCAGAGGACAGCCTGGACGACAGGAGAGAAATTTTGCTTTGGGAAAACAAACTTTCTGCATTGACGGGGATATGTCTCAGATATTTGGGGCTCATAATACCTAAAGAAATTAAAAGTAAAAACTAAAACAGATATTTTTGAAGCAACGTTATTATCCACAATAACCTTATTCATAATAACCTTATTCACAATAATCGAAAGGTGAAAACAATGCAAGTGAGAAACAGCGAATGAAAGTGTATACACACATAGTGTGTGCACACAATGGAACATTATTTAGCTTTAAAAAGGAAGGGAGTTCAGATACATGCAATAATATGGTTGAACCTTGAGGACATTTTGCTAACCTAATTAAGCCAGATACAAAAGGACAAGTACTGTATGATTCCAACTATATGAGGTGCCTGGAATAATTAAATGCAGAGACAGGAGGTAGAATGGCAGTTGCCAGAGGATGAAATAAGGGGGACATGGGGACTTGTTTAATGAGTAGAGTTTTAGGTTGGGATAATTAAAATTGTGTTAGATGTATACTGCTGGTGATGCTCGCTCAATAAGGTAAATGGACTTAATGCCAGCAATCTGTATGTTTTAAAATGGTTAAATGACGAATTGTATGTTGTGTATATTTTTTTCCACATTAAAGAAAAGGTTTAGTGACAAATGACAAAGCCAAGCTACATTAAAGATCTACACCCATTTCCTTCTTCCCCAGGCCCTGAGAAGTACAGAGACACAGTTTTAACCAAGTCCATCAGGGTGTCCAGTTTCAATCACAAGCTGCTGGTATGATCCTCAACAAGCCAGGATTCAAGTGCAAGCCCACCTGCAACCAGGTGAGCCCTTAGCCCACCGGGGCCTTCTCTGACTTCCTGCTCTTCACACGCTTCCTGCTTAATTATGTTTCCATGTTTCGGGGTTGATGTCATCTGTGTAGATGAGAGTTCCTTTCACATAATACAATAGGAAAAATAGGGATAGGGTTAGGTTTAACCTGCTTTTCAGGACTCCTCTCTGTTGAGAACTTTCCTTTTGCTTAATAAATTCTACTCCACTCATTCTCTGATGTCAGCACCCCTAAATCTAGATTTCATCTCAGACATAAAGAAATAAAAACCTGTCTCTTAAAGCTGGTATCATTTATAGCCTACCATACGTCCCCTTCTAGATATAGTCCCTCTATTTGCTGAGTTTACAGTTTCTTTCAGGATTTGTGGACATCGTTTTTCATCGTACTCACAGAGAACTCCAGCATTCCTGTTTACATTCTCAACAACGAAAAGTTTCTACTCAAACCTAGATTATACCTCAGGGAACTGCTTACATGTTATAATGAATACAGACAAGGAAGTACTTGTAACTACTTTGTCTGTGAACCTTTAACACATTTTTTCCCCATTTATTTTATTGCATTTTAGGTTTGGGGGTACATGTGAAGCACATGCAAGATTGTTGCATAGGTACACACGTGGCAGTGTGATTTGCTGCCTTCCTCCGCATCACCTGCATCTGGCATCTCTCCCCTTGCTATCTCTCCCTCTCCCCAGCTCCCCACCCCCCACCGTCCCTCCCCTATTCCCCCCCAACTGACTCCAGTGTTTAGTGCTCCCCTCCCTGTGTCTATGTGTTCTCATTGTTCAACACCCGCCTGTGAGTGAGAACATGTGGTGTTTGATCTTCACACCATGGAATATTATGCAGCCATCAAAAACGATGAGTTTGTGTCCTTTGTAGGGACATGGATGAACCTGGAAACCATCATCCTTTAACACATTTTATACTAATAAAGCCTCTTCCTGTCTGTTTTGCACTACACAGGAAATTCTCATTTCACATACAAATCTGGGTTTCCTTGCAGGACTTGTGACAGGGGCATGGCTTGCCTGTTCAAACTCCTTCAGGGAAGGGAGCATGCAGATGGGCCGGTGCGCAGGCTGGGGTGAGCACTTTGGGCTCTAGCTCCATGGTAGTGTCTCGGGGTGATTGCCTGCAACCCCAGTGTTACAAAGATCTTACAGCGTTTTCATCTGCAGACAGACTGAACGTTAATCAGCTCCAAGGACCCTCTGCCTTATCTCAAAGGCAGAAGGCTAGTGTGACAGCTTTCTATATGCCAAGCTTTTATTTTCTTTTTTATAATTTCCGTAGTACTATTATGTTGTGAATTTCTTATTTTTTTAGATTTTCTGTTGTTTGTAGTTTATATTTTTCACTAGCAATTTTAGCATATTTAAGACAGCTGTTTAAATGCTTCCCGACTAATTTTAATGCCTGTGATTCTTTAGAAATCATTTCTAGTAATTTATTTTCTTTCTCATGGTGGACTGTGACGTCCTGTTTCTTTGTATGCCTTGTTATTTTATTTAATTGGGCATTTGAAAAAATAAACATCTTTTTTACCGTATACAGATTTGTTCTGTGTCATGACAGTCATCGACTAACATGTGTGGCATGTTCTCAGTCGAGGCATCAGCCCTACATAAAACCTTAAGGCCTCCTCGGTTTGTTTCTGAACATGCACCTTTGTGGACTGCACGTGCCCTTTTACTTTTCCTGAAATAAACAATGGCTTTTGAATCGCTTGCTGTTACAAAGTTCCGCATCCCAGTTCCTCCTCAATGGCTTAGATGGACTACCGCATGCCTCTTCCCCTAATGTCTTCCCTATAACATCTGTATGTGGATAGTCACCCTGAATCTCTACTGAGCTGCTCCATAAACACACAAATCAATTTATCACAGCCAATTTTAGATATTTTCTGATGCTTCCATGAGTCATCTGGGAATCTTATAATCCACCATCTTGTTGAAATTGCTCTCTCTGAAAAATTTCAATGTCTTTATAATATTACATTCATGTCAATGTATAACAATTTACCTATTATTCAATTTCTGTTTGTTTCTTGACAAAGCAAAGAGAAGCAATCAGGGAACTGCAATTGTGACTACTCCGAGACACTCAATCATGAATCATGCAAATTACAATCATGTTCTAACCTGCTGTTCAAGGGAGAATAAAATAGAAATTATCGCATATGAGGCTTATTCACCTGTTTACATATAATCAGTTACCAGTTTTTCTTTATGAAGAATGTTTAACAATATTATAAAGTATGTATAATAGTTACCGGGTTTTTGGCTTGTTACTTTTTGGTAGTCTCTCCTAAAACTGGCTGGAAAAGGCAAATAAGGCACTGTTTGCATATTACAAATGATATCCAAAGTCCAAAAGCTGTTAATAAGTCATTCTCCAATAAAGTTTTATCATTTTCCTTTTTTATTTACACCCATATCAGGAGTGCAACTTTACCAGGACTGCACCTGCATCAGGAAGGCATATTTCTCTTACAAGGCTAAGAAGAAAGAAACAGAAATTTGCTGATGAAAAAAGTAATGCATTTTTAAAATTTTAACTTTAAGTTTTGTTTTGTTTTTTCCCATTTATTTTATTGCATTTTAGGTTTTGGGGTACATGTGAAGAACATGCAAGATTGTTGCATATGTACACACGTGGTAGTGTGATTTGCTGCCTTCCTCCCCATCACCTACATCTGGCATCTCTCCCCTTGCTATCTCTCCCCAGCTGCCCACCCTCCACCGTCCCTCCCCTATTTCCCCCCAACTGACCCCAGTGTGTAGTGCTCCCCTCCCTGTGTCCATGTGTTCTCATGGTTCAACACCCGCCTATGAGTGAGAACATGCGGTGTTTGATCTTCTGCTCTTCTGTCAGTTTGCTGAGAATGATGGTTTCCAGGTTCATCCATGTCTCTACAAAGGACACAAACTCATCATTTTTGATGGCTGTATAATATTCCATGGTGTATATGTGCCACATTTTCCCTGTCCAACCCAAATCGATGGGCATTTGGGTTGGTTCCAGGTCTTTGCTATTGTAAACAGTGCTGCAATGAGCATTCGTGTGCATGGGTCCTTATAGTAGAATGATTTAGAATCCTTTGAATATATACCCAGTAATGGGATTGCTGGGTCAAATGGAAGCTCTATTTCTAGGTCCTTGAGGAATCGCCACACTGTCTTCCACAATGGTTGAACTAATTTACACTCCCACCAACAGTGTAAAAGCATTCCTATTTCTCCACATCCTCTCCAGCATCTGCTGTCTCCAGATTTTTTAATGATTGCCATTCTAACTGGCGTGAGATGGCATCTCAATGTAGCTTTGATTTGCATTTCTCTGATGACCAGTGATGATGAGCATTTTTTCATATATTTGTTGGCCTCATGTATGTCAAACTAACTTTAAGTTTTTACTGAGGGCAAAAGTTTAAAGAAATGCTCAGTGGTCATTCCTTTAAACTGTGGCTGTGAGAGAGAGAACAATGAAAATTAGTCATTTCAAATGCTGCAAGACACAGAAGGAATATTATTTGACATACATTGTCAAAATATGATGGAGGAAGTCAGTGCGTTCTGTGCAACATCATAGGAGAGGAATCACAGGAGCTTCCACTGTATTCCTTCATAGTTCCTTCCTTCTGCCTATTTCCCCATGTTAATTTCACTATACTAAAGATAATTAAGATTATATCTTTAATTATAGGTTGAGTCCTGTGTTATGGTACAAACGAAAAAGGCTTTGTAGCTGGAGGTTTCAATAGTCTTATGTAAGGTCACAATTTGTTCTACAAATCTCTTTGAATAATTTATGTCATATATAGAGATTTGGAATAGCAAAAGTCCTTCAGAGAGAAATTAATGAGTGTATCATGACCATATAATAATTTACTTATGAATTTTCTTAGATAAGAAACGGTTGAACTGGATTCAATTTTTATCACAGCCCGTGAAAAACTTCCTCTGTACCCCGTCTCACATGCCATTGGTTAACCAGCAGACAGTGTGTCCAGGGGCGTTGCCAGCTCATTGTTCTAATAGCCTGTGAGGGAGGGAAGGAGGAAGGAAGAAACATTTGCCAGCCAGGCCAGTGACAGAAATGGATTCGAAACATCGGTGTATGAAGCTGAATGATGGTCACTTCATGCCTGTCCTGGGATTTGGCACCTATGCACCTGCTGAGGTAACAATCATGTTTTCAGGGTTGAGAATTCAAAGGAGAAAAGCTAGAATAAGTGGAAGTTGACCGGGTTTGTGTTCCTACATGCTCTGCATAAATCCCCTGGTCTGTGTCCCTAGGTTAGAGTGGTACTTTATGCACAAAGAGAAAATGTCAGTGTTTGTTCTGCTTTGCACTCTGGCCACAGGATCGTCTACTGCTTATCTAGGGCACTGTTTTGTCTTCTGTTTATGTTTATTTCACAGCTTGTCGGAGTCTGTAAAACTCAGCAGGAAAAACACTGCCTGCCTGCTGCCTCTCTTGAAGATTGATTGCATGCAATGGGAGTGGTTTCTCTGTTTCTTTGTATAGTCAAAGAGATAGTCACTTCTTCTAAGACATAATTCAGAGGAATCTCTATGGCAAAAGTTAGTGGAGATGGGGTGCATGAAGTCTGTGGGGAGGGTATCACGGTTCTGATGGGCCTTGAGCACCACACAGTAATACTGGACCTGGACTAACGAGAGTCTCCCATGTGCTACTCTCAGCCCTGGGAAAATTACCTGAAAGGATAAAATATCCTGTTTTTAAGAAAAAAAAAAAAAAAAACTAGAACCTAACAAGAAAAGTTTAAATTCTTTGTCTTTGTTAATATGGGTCACATTTGTATCAAAATACTGTAACAGAATTTTCTGGTTTCTCTGACAAAAAAATTAATGGAATGGATTTTATTTTCTAGACTTAGCTATTTCTACACTGGAAGAAAACTTGTATCTCAAGACTGCCTTGAGAATACAATATGTGTGAATACAGACTAGTTACATAAAATTTGAGTCTCACATTTCTTATCTATAAGATATGAGGGTTTACACAGGGACATTTTGAAGACCACTAACAGGGGTGGCTTATGTTGTAATATATGTTGTCACGGAGAGGAAGTAAAGATGAGGACACCCCTGAGGCTGCAGCCCTGGTAAGCCTTTGAGTGCTCCCACAGCAGGGAAAAGATCAAGGATGGTATGAGAAGAGGGCTGTGAGACCACTACCTAGTTCCTTGTAATTTCGTGGAAAAAAGAAAGCCTCTGAAATACTTTTCAGATGAGAAAATACTTTATTTTGTTTCTGTTTTTGTCATTTAAAAGATACACTTTCAAATCAGTATTTAAATTTTTACAAAAGTCAGAAACTGTAAATTTCACTGCCATCATATTTTTCCTAAAAGAGTTGTCTTTCATTTATGGAGCTGAAACCCATTTTGCTAATATCTGACTTCTTGCAGTCGCTTGCTTATACATACCAATCAACATCCTTAGAGCACACATCATTCCTCCTACTATTTAGTTCTGTCATGCAGACATAATGGCTAATGGCTGTGTAGAAAAGACTTAATAGACTGCTATCCATAGATGTGCCTATTTCCAATATCAATCTGGCTGGTATCTGAGAAGGTGGATTTCTCACTATTTCCTAACTGATAAGGATCGTGGCTGTAAGTAACTGCTTGTGCGAACTGCGGGGTTTCTGTGCACCTGCTTTCCTTTGGGAGACTGGAAGCTTTGTGTCTGCTAGGCAGAGTGAATCAATCCAACCAGTCCCAGTCAAAATCTTAGGAATGGAGTATGCAGACAGCATCTCTTGTAGACAACATTTCACATACATTGTCAAAATGTGATGATGGAGGAAGTCAGGGTGTTCTGTGCAACATCACAGGAGAGGAATCACAGGCGCTTCCACTGTATTCTTTCATAGTTCCTTTCTTCTGCCTATTTCCCCATGTTTATTTCGGTATACTAAAAATAATTAAGATTATATCTTTAATTATAGGTTGAGTCCTGTTAATTTTTCCAAAAAATCACTGAACCTAAAAGTGTTTTGGGGAGACCTCCATCCAAGCCATTGGTCAACCAGTGATTTTTCTGGGACTTCAGAAGTTCCTGCTATGCTTAATCCTGATTCCTAACCGGGAAAGACCCAGGCAGACTGCAACAGGCTTATGATACAGAACACATCCAAGAAAGAAGGAAAAGCTGATTTTTGTAACTGTCACTGCTTGTGCCTGAACTAACTCTCAGGCACATGAGTCAGAAAATACTACCTTTGATTGCTCCCCCAGGTTCCTAAAAATAAAGCTGTAGAGGCCACCAAATGGGCAATAGAAGCTGGATTCCGCCACATTGATTCTGCACATTGTTACAATAATGAAGAGCATGTTGGACTGGCCATCCGAAACAAGATTGCAGATGGCAGTGTGAAGAGAGATGACATATTCTACACTTCAAAGGTACTGTGCCTATGATAAGCATGTATGCAGATGTATTTATTGTGATTGTGTGGAGGTGGCAATTCTATGAATGGATCCATAGTTGTGGGTGAATTGTGTTTATTCATTTCAATTTATTCACAAATATTCATGTATTAAAACTAAAATCAAAGGCAGGAAATGAAGATGACTTTCTCATCTTTGCATTGTTCAAATTTATGACTTCAGGTCCCTTTACTTTCTTGAATTCAGCACAGATCAATATAGTTTAACATAGACTAAGAATCACAGAAAACATTAATCATATTATGGTATTTCTTACCTCTTGGGTAAATTTCTTACATTTGTTATGATTCTAAGTTTCCATTATCATCTGGATTAGAGAGAGAGAGAAAGAAATATATGTGAGCTCTGTGAGTATTAAATAATGGTATCTACATTGTCTTAAACTGTGTCCAGCCCAAGTTCGCATATTAAAAACTGTGTTCACCTCCTCAGTTGCTAAACCCCAAAGATGCTTATTCTTGCCCATTGGGCTGAGTGGATGAAAGAATTTAACTATTAAAATGAGTTGTAAAACATACCAAAAATAATTCAGATAATGGATATGCTTGTTATTTGATAACAACTTTGACCTTTTGAGTATTTCATTCTGTCGTTCAATATATGTAATAGCTATATATTCAACATAAATAAAATTCATTAGGATATGACAGAACAAAATATTCACAAATATTCATGTGTTAAAACCAAAATCAAAGGCAGGAAACAAAGACGACTTTCTCATCTTTGCAGCATTTAAAGGGTATAACAAGAAGAAACAGAATAATTTGGCCTGTGGTCATCAGTTTTGAAGTAGTGGAAAATGTCTAAATATTAGGTGGAGCAAACTAGAAAAATTGGGTCAAGTGTTCATTCAACACAACTTCCTTTCTCTAACCTCTGCAGCTTTGGTGCACTTCCCATCGACCAGAGTTGGTCCGACCAGCCTTGGAAAGGTCACTGAGAAATCTTCAACTGGACTATGTCGACCTCTATCTTATTCATTTTCCAGTGTCTCTAAAGGTAGGCAGCTTGTGTGATCAAATTAATTTCACTTCTGTTGTCAGCATAAATACTGTTTTCATGGATATTTGAACTGAGCTTTTTCTTAGGAGGACATAGGGATTATAACATGGAAGGAGAGCCCTAAGTATAACTCCTAGTTCCCTTTCTATTGACTATATTTTAAATCCTTACTTCTCTGATACATGTCTACAAGAGAAGAGAGTGCAGAAACCTCAAAGGCTCTGCCTCAAAAACTTGAGGAAATGACAGTCGTCTCCTTGAAGGCAAAGGCCTTAGTTATGACTCCTGAGCTCGCCTCTTGGGATGTCACAGACACAGAGTTTCATGAAGCCGTGGTGTCCAGGAAAACTGCTGTACATATGGTGCACAATGGTCCATCTTCTCGCCTGTTTTCAAGGGGACATGGATGTGGAGGAACTCAGTCTGGGTGGGTTTTAAACACAGACCTTCATGTAGACTTGGGAAACCTTGTTGCTTCTGCTTCCTCTCTTTTCACACTGGAGTTTTTATCTTTGTTTAGCCAGGAATTCTTGTATCATTCATAACTTTTGATTTAAAGTTACAGAAAACTACTCAGGCTAGTTAATGCAAGAGTTTATTAAATGTGAAAATGGGAAGTCAAAGCCATGGAGACATTTAAGAACTTAATAAAATCTCTAGAAATACATACTTTCTCCATCCTTATCTCTGCCTTATTACAAAAGGGTTTTTTTTTTTTTTTCTTCAAATATTTGTTCCAACCTTTTCAATTGTTGGCAATGACAGCTTTGGAGCACTTTAAGGCTCATACTCATTGCCGTAAGAGAGCTCCTGTGGGTCTCCCAACTTCCAAAGTAGCCTTGAAAACACCTTCATTGACCATGACTTGTTCATGGTCCTGTCCATGGAACATCACATGTTCAGGGAGATAAAGAACTCTGATAGTGGCACCTGGGTCAAAAGTAGAATCCATCATTCCAAGATATCAAGGTCTTTTGAAGAGATACATTGTCACAGACAAAATTATCGAAGCAGAAAAAAGTAATGGAAGTCAATGAGGACACTCCATTAGGAAGCAGAAAGATGGTATTTATTTATACATACAACAGTTGTAAGATGTTAGAGGAAGCCTGTCTCCCGAAGACATTCCTTATGCCTCCACATGTAACACACATTGGAGCATTGTATCCCTACGTCATGGAAGATTCGTGTCCTTAAATGTACCTGAGAGCATGGCTATGTGTGGAGAAATTGATTTGTGACATCACTAAACTGACTGCTTCCACTTCAGCCAGCGGAGGAGCTGATCCCAAAAGATGAAAATGGAAAAATACTATTTGACACAGTGGATCTCTGTGCCACGTGGGAGGTAAGTGCAAGGAGGTGAGAACACAGATAAGAAATATGAGATGGGAGACATCTGGTTCCTACTTTCCAAGTAAAAGAATGGAAAATGCACCATTGAATCAAAAACTTAGGATTTTTACAGAGGCAGTTTTTGTGAGCAATGAGGAAAAGCAAATCACAGCAATACAAAAGAGAGATGTGGAGGAGAATTGGGGGTTAGGAGGACTGGAATCCCTTTCCTTCCCTGTGCATTAATCTCTCCAGTTTTCTAAGGAGGAAACAGAAATTCTAGCTCTTGCTTTCACTATCTTCTTGCCCACTTTTCTGTTTTATTTTTTGCCCTTTAAGAACTGCTGCTAGCTACGTTGACTGTCATTACCTTGACAGTTTTTACTTTCACAGTTCTATCTTACATTTATCTTGATCTTCGGTCAACTGCGAAAATGATATCTCACAATTCCTTTTTCCCAGGCCATGGAGAAGTGTAAGGACGCAGGATTGGCCAAGTCCATCGGGGTGTCCAACTTCAACCGCAGGCAGCTGGAGATGATCCTCAACAAGCCAGGGCTCAAGTACAAGCCTGTCTGCAACCAGGTGAGCGCCCTCAGCCTCCTCTCTTTTCTGTTCTTCATGCCCCTCTTCCTGTCCTATTGCCAAGTATCCATTCATTCAGTCCCACTTATCTTTGTGAAGAAGATTTGCGAGCAAAGTCTCTGTCTAGAAGGGCATGGAGGGCCCTTACTTGTACCCTGCTTCGAAAAGTCTTAGCAAAAAGGTGGGGTGACTTTAATGCTGAATTATGTTATATTTAGGGGAGGTCAATTCTATCAAGGAGGCCAAGGATTGTCAATTAGATTCAGGTAAAGTTGGAGTTACCCCTAAGCTATGATAGATGACCAGAGCGTGGATGGGCAAAGGTGATTTGGAGGGACTGTGTGTAGATATGAAGCCATGAAAAGATGGAATGAACAGTGCATGAGGAGAGAGTGAGAATAAGGGAAGAGAGATACTAGGGTTTGCATGGGGTTCAGATGTCTCAGTGCCTCTTGGTGTCTGTGCTTTCTTGACCAAGGGCATAGATACAATAAAAATTAGCTGCAGAGACTGAAGTTCATCCATGGTAGAAAGAGAAAATGACCTGTGTATGAAGATACTTGTTCACAGTGGGTGAAATCACCACTGAGGAACGTTTAGCAGAACGTGGAGCTGACCTAGGACTGCACGTGCTCCAAGTCTGCTGCTCTCTTTGGAGTGTGTCATGCAATCAGCTGTTTAAACATATCTACTCTATGCATGGTTCTTTCATAGCCTAAAGATAATTCCACCTTTGCCCTGAGTCCTGACAGACGATTCCAGGCTTCTTTGATCAAATTGATGCCCCCACACGTTACACACGTTTCAGCATTGAAGTCACTACACCTTTCCCAGTAACTTAGACATTTTTATTCTATTTTACTTTTTTAAAAGATCTACAATGGAAATACATGATGTATATTTGTGAATTTGGTATAATAACACAGTGCCGTGATAATTCAATAAAAGCATTGAGAAGTTAATGTGGTTTTAATATTAGTAGTTCCTCAATTTTTTATTATGACAATTTCCAAACTTTCCAAAAATTTGATAAAAATAATACTGAATACCCATGTTACCATTTATATTCAAAGTTACTCAATTACTAACATTTTCACATTGTTATATAGGGGCATATCTGCATCAATACACATAATGTTTCTAGAATCTTTTCAAGTCAAATCATAAAGATGACAATTGAGCCCTGGAGACCTCTCATAGCATGCCACAGGAATGAAGATATTCTCCCAGTTACAGTGCCATTACTATATCTAAGAAAATCATCTCTAGTGTCCCCATGTCATTTGGTATCCAGTCCATATTTGAATTTTCCATTGTTGAATCAAAACGTCTTTTGTAGCTCTTCTTTTTAAACCAGAATTCAATTGTTTTTATATTGTTGTATTTTGATATCAGTTAACTTGTTTTTCTCAGTTTTTGAAGGTTTCTGTAAATTAGACGTTAGATGTGAGTGATTTATTACATCGGCTTAAATCTTTTGGGCAAGAAAATGTTTTTATCGTGCCGTGTTTTTCAAATTGCACCACACTAGACTGCATGCAATCTCAGATTGCTCCACTTGTGGGGAAGCTAGTTTTAAAAATTTGGTTAAGCTAACGATGGTCAGATTTGTTGATTTTAACACATGTTTTCTCTTTAACAATTACTAGTAATATTCTGGTGGATAATTCTCAACAGAAGAAGTCATATACCCATGACAAATTTTCACATCTGATTGAGTATACATCAGTGATTTGAATGTTTTTTGTGTTGTATTTCTGTTATCTTATTTGTCATTTCCTTGGGGTTTTTACATACTCATTTTTAATTTTAATGACTTGTTTTATTATTCTTACCTGATATTTTACTAAAAATAATTTCTTACCAAGTAAAAATAATAAACTATTATTCCTCTAAGTCAGGGTAAAAGTTAACTTTTTCCTTCAATTAGCAGTGTACTGAGAATGTAATTGCTGTAATGACTGCCATCAGACTAGGCAAATATTGCTGTTCTTTTTCTCATTCTCTCACTAATTTCTATAGACTCAGAGATTTTTGTTCTTTATTTTTAATTCATTTTACTTAATTATTTTTCAAAAACTTTTCCTCTTTACTGAAACATAAAACACATTTACAGCATGCAAGTTAACTTAAAATTAAATGATGTCTTCCCAAACCAAGTATTTGTAAATGTATCTTCAAGCACTGAAAATAAACCAACATATTCCAGAGGCAGACTCAGACCGTCACCTCATGTAAAATGGAGCTAAGCACAAACTGAGAGTTATGCACAGCGTTAGTTTTCTTAAGTTAGGCGAGTAACTTAAGTAATTGCCATGAATAAATATTATTCTCTTATTTCACGGAGTTTTTCTTCTGAACCATCTATCATTGCCATTCAGAGAAACATTAATATAGCCAATCAAAAACACACTGCAAATTGAAATGTGTCAATATCCTAGATCAGAAATTTTAATTTTTAAGAGTAAATGCTGTTTAATGTCCTACCATAACAAAAAGCAGTTCACTGAAAACAAATGTATGAAATTCTTGTTACACTTTATGAAAGTCTGAAATCATACATAGAAAAGAACCATCAAGATATTTTTTAAAAATTTAACTTTATATATTCTGAACCACATGCTAATTATAATTCATTGTTCGTTACACAGCACCAATACCCATTTTATTTAATTTTTAATGCTTACATCTACTCATTAGGTCGTTTTTGTCTGTCAGAACTGCTCTCATGAGTCTTTGACCATTTTCTTGATTTCTGTCACAATTTGATGCTCAAGGCTCAAAGAATCTGACCCTATCCCAGCTCTGAAAATGGCCATGTCTCCTTCTAGCGGTCAAAGTTATTTAGAAACCAGGATAGGGTGTAGAGAGTTGCTTGTGCTCAGAAATGGCATTTCTATTTTCTTAGGAGAGAGGGATATAAAATTTATGTTTATGAAAATGATCACTTCTTGACAATAATATTCTGAGTTCAAACTTAATGTTATACATTATTCAGCTTCTTTTACTTTAGTCATTTTTATACTAACATAACTTTTGGGTTATCTGATGCTTTTCCATCTTGGTCATCTGCAGGTGGAATGTCATCCTTACCTCAACCAGAGCAAACTGCTGGATTTCTGCAAGTCAAAAGACATTGTTCTGGTTGCCTATAGTGCTCTGGGGTCCCACCGAGAAAAAGCATGGTAATAAGAGCAACAGGAAGTTTACCTAAAACACCACATTTTGATAAAAGCTTTTAAAAAGATCATGCTCAGTTTCCTGGAGTTCACTCACAGCTGACTTGGCGAGAGGGAAGAATTTGCATTTCTGACGAGATCCCAGGTGATGCTGCTGCGGCTGTTCAGGGGCCTCACTTGAGAAGCTCTGGTTCAGAATGAACATCTTAATCTTTTAGGGAGCCTCCTAACAAACTGTATCCGCAGCCTCAGGGCTTCAGCATTTCTGCCTTTCCTCCCAGGGTGGATCAGAACTCCCCGGTTCTCTTGGATGACCCAGTTCTATGTGCCTTGGCAAAAAAGCACAAGCGAACCCCAGCCCTGATTGCCCTGCGCTACCACCTGCAGCGTGGGGCTGTGGTCCTGGCCAAGAGCTACAATGAGCAGCGGATCAGAGAGAACATGCAGGTGAGGAGCGGGGCTGTGGGCATCAGGGCTCCTGCATGGTGTCCTTGAGAGGTGTGCTTCTTGTAAGGCTCTCAGGACACCTTTGGGCCAGCTCCCTTTCCCTGTGATTTGCTGTATGAACTTTTTGTGTGCATTATAAGGGTTTCTTCTACTCTACCACAGGAGTGGCAGCACAGGTGGAGAGAAATGGGTGGGATAAAAAGCAGAAATCTGGGTTAGCATTAAGCCAGTGATACCCATATTCTTCTGCTAGGGATATCTCCTTTTTAAAATTTTCTATAATGAGGAGTTTGATTAGACATTCTTTAGTCTCCATATCATCGTGGATTTTTTTCTTTTATAATAATGTAGTATAAATTTCTTATATTTATTCTCTTAGAATTTTACCTTTGCCAAGTGCTTAACTCTGCCTGTTTTTTCTTGGGAGTTGGGGGGGTGGTCGTTTGTTCTTATTTTTATGTGTAGGAGACCATAATTATACCTATAGCTAAGGATATAAGACAAACCCACTGAACATAGAGGCTTAATGAGCATTTATTGAGCTCAAGATTCCATGGTTAGAAAATTAGCCTGAGCTCAGCCTAAACTTAGTCCAGTCCTTCTATTCCTGGCTGGGCTCTGTGTGCAGGGCAGTGAGGCTGCTCTGCTTGGAATGTCCATGGGGCATCTATCTGGGCACCTCCCTGTCCTCCACGCAGTTCTTTATCCTCCAGCCATCCAGCCCAGGCTTCACCTCAGCACAGGACACTAGCCCAAGGCAGTGAGTGGACACATGCAAAGCCTTTTCAGGTCTAAGCTCAGAGAGCTGCCACACCATTTTTTCTGGGAAATTCTATCACTTCATGCAAGTTACAGGACAGGTCAGACTCTACTATGTATGTGATATGTGTGAAATAATTTATCAATGGGTGTATATATATATGAGTATATATACTTGATATATTATTTCATATATTAAGAATACATCCAAGTATTTAAAGAATTAATATCCAGAATCCATATCTATCTATCTATATATCTATATGTAGATAGATATATATGTTTCCTAATTAGTTGTGTATATACAAAATATATACCGTATATAATACATCATAAAACATGTTATATATATGACATATATCATGTATATGTATATATGTCACTATTTGCTAAAACATTAAGTAAAATCAGTGTATAAATCTATAGGATACTCTGAAATAGTGATACAGAGAATGAGAGAGAGTAAAAAATGACAATGAAACGATGAATCTAGGTAGCAGCATTTATTGTATTATTTAAGAAATATTTTTAGACATTAGAAAATCCACAAAACGAAAAGGTAAAGTTATGAAAGACTGTAGAAATTACCAGTATTTGTACACATGTGTATGTTCTCTAATTAATCTATTATATATAGACATATATGATATATGGCATATGTGTTATATAATATATATGTTAATTAGTAGCCATACACATATATGTATTTATTCTGGATATTAATTCTTTAGAGATTTGAATGTATTCTTGAAATAATAGCTCCCAAATTTTAAGTGTGCTGTCATATTCTTTGTGGTTATATTTTCACAAACAAAAGTTTCTATCCCTAATGTAGACTAATTTTTTATGCGTCTTTCTTGTGGTTAATGAGTGCTGTGTCTTATCATATATTGGAAATATCACAATATTTTACTGTGTTATCTTACAAAATTGTTAATATTCTTTCCTTGGAAATTTGGTTGTTAATTCTATTGGGATTGTTTTTTAAAATATTATGTGAAATAAGGATCCAAACATGCATATCAAATTTTTGAATTTTTAGCAAAATGCCCACCAACATTTATTGAAAAGTTCATATTTTTTCACATGTCTCTTTTTTTTAACCTGTAACATAAATGAAATGTCCATGAGTAATTATCTGACCTCTCTTCCATCTTCAGTTAACTTATTTACTTTTCTGTACTATGATGTTAAAAAGTAAGTTTCACTTCCAGTATGGTACAAATATTTTTCTAACTTCTTCATTTGTTTAATAATATCTTAGCTGTTCTTGACTAATGTGTTACTTAAAATTGTAAATCATCTTATTAACTTGCACGAGTAAATGTTTTATTCTCTTGTTGACATTGTAATAAACCTGCAGATCAATGTGGAGAGAACTGAGTCTTTGACAATATTGAGATTTCCTATTTATGTTCATATTATGAATTTCTCACTACTTATTAATAAATGGTATTTTAATAAATCTATCATTAATTTCATAACTTTCTCCATGAATTCATCTATATTTTTAGATTTATTCATAGAGTACTGATAATTTTCATAGTTTTTGATAACTTGTTATTTTTGTTTTGTGGATTTTCTAATGTATAGAACACATGGACACAGGGAGGGGAGCACTACACACTGGGGTCAGTTGGGGGGAAATAGGGGAGGGA